GAGGAAAGTGTATAATACCTAAAGCATTAAACCTTTTGAAATTCAAATGGAAAGTTTCATAAAACCTTTTGCCTTTATCATTAGCAAGTATGATTTATCTTTTTTATAGATAAAAACATTTAATAAATCAATGAGGTCAGCATTCTAAAATGCGCGACGGGTCCCAGCAGAGTGCAGGCTAACACGCCCCAGGGCCGGGAGCTGGCTCGCTGTCAAGTCGAGTGCGGGGCTGGCGGCCGGGGGTGACCTTGGCTGTGACCCCGCCTGGCCTCTAGCGGTGACTTTTGGAACTGTTTCGCCTCGCCAGCTCCACGTGGAGGCCAGGCGAGGTGGGCGGTCCCGCCCGGCATTTCCGTCCATTCCAGAGCTGGCTGCCGCGGTGGTCGGACGGTAATGCGGATTTGCTCAGATTTACTTAGGCTTTGTTGACTGGTGATCAGCCTGCCAAGTGTTCTAAGACATTCAGTCGCAACACGCAATTGCTCTTTGCGACCAGCAGCTTATTCTCTCCAACTGTTCCAGGCTGGTGTTGCGATGGTAAAGGTTACTTTGTCATGTCATTTTTCCTTATAACTCTGTTATCGGCTTCAATTTCGTCTTTCTCTTCCTTCATTGGTCTTCGCAGGTGGCCTGGATGGTTAAGCTAGAAATATTTCGCTGGTCAGGTGCTGAAACGGATGCTGGCTGGCTGGTGGAGGTGGACCGCAGCGTTGTTGACGTTGCTGACGCAAAATCGGCACTTGTCGCCGAAGCCACGGGACCGCAGCTCCCGTACGATAATTGTTATCTGCTGATCTGCCTGTTTCGCTGTCTCAGCGGCTAGCATTCCAGGGCACTGGCTAATATAGGCAGACGTGAATAGAGCCCATACACTTCAGTACGGGGCAGTTGAGCCTACAGCTGGTCTCTTCCACACCGCGCCTTACAGCCTTATGTGCTGTGTTGATAGTTTTTTTCACTTCTGCATCGGCGACTCCGTTGAGTTTTTTTTTTAGTTTCGCTTCTGCATCGGTCTCGCCCAGGAATGCCACATCGGGTTGTAGGGTAACCATGGTAGGAGGATTAGAAAGAGTGCAATACTCTTTGCTCAGTATTTCCAGAAGATTCTTGTTTTATGGTTTTGCAGAGGCAGTAGTCTCTCCTAACCCCCTGTCCATACATTCTTTCTCCCTTCGTTATTGTTTGAAGAAAGTCAATATCATCTAATGAACAAAAATTATGTATCAACTAGCCTGCAATGCATCGGCTTCGCTTTTTACCGAAATGCGAGTTTTATATTTTCCATATATAAGCAGTTCTTAGTCCCATTCACTTCACGACAATCACTATAGGTATGGCACAATTTTCTCTACTTTTCACGCATGCTCACAGGCTCGGGCCCAACCACCATCTACCGCCTGTTGGTCGGGCAGTACTTTTTGGTGTGGACGATGAGCCCACATGCCCAGCACTTCGGGCAGGTGTAGGCCTGCAGCATGGAGCATCTGGAACGGTCCTGCCCGTCCTGTAACACAAAAAGCACTGTAAGTGACTGCTGTTGAAAATTAGAGTAGTGATTAATTTCTTTCGCCCACCGGCGCCCGGCGGGGCGGCGGCCGCGGCCCGGTTGGGCGGCCGCCCACGCCACGCAGCGGGCGGCGCGGCCACCGGCCGGGCGGCGGCCGGGCTAAGCTGAATACCGAGCCGGTCCAGGTCAGTAGCGCGTGCGTCGCTGACTGCCGCCGCCCAGCCACGGTGAGCAACAATTAGGAACAGCACCCGCCCCCAGTACCAATCCTCATGGTCCGGGGGAGGGTCAGCGCCCTCTCCAATACCTAATGAGAAGACTCCTCACCTCCTCCTTCTCCCTCACGCCGTATCGTCCGGACTCCAGCATCCGTCTCAGCTCCGCCATCCATAGGTGTCGCTGCTCTGAAGACGAGTCGACCGCCTCCGCCTTGACCTCGGCTACCGCCGGCTCGGATTCCGTGTGCAGCTGGGCCAGCACTTAATAGCTCTATCCGCAACACCGGTCATCAACAACGGAACAACTCTACAGACTCGAGTTAAGATTACGGATGTGCGTAAGGCCACAACTGTTCATGTAAGCATGCACGAAAAGCAGCTTTTTCATTTACGCGCTTAAGACAGGCACTGTACAGTCTGTCTTAAAAGTACCGCGCAAAGTGGCGGTGGATCAATCAAGCCTTACCGAAGAAAGGCTTGCTTTAATTTAAAAGTCACCGAACCAATTGACCTGAGGAATGGACGAGAATATCAATTGCTTCGATGACTCAAATTAAGCAGGCCCTTCCTCGGTCAGGCTTGATGGATCCACCGTTACTTTGCGCGGTACTGTTAAGACAGACTCTATATACAAGCCCCTCCTCCGTCTCGATACTTTCAGTTACAGTAGTAACAGTTGACGTAGAAGGCAGCATGCAGGTCTGGAGTTTCACACTTCGGGCGATGCCCATTACTCAACATCGAGCTGCCAATGGCGTCCGACCGATTCCCTTGTGGGCCTTGTGAGAAAGATCAGATGCGATACTCGTAAATACCATTGCTGAACGGGTTGGAAGCATGCAGGTCAGTCCGCGAATTATATTCATATACTTAGCTGCGACTGAGAATAGCGCGGACTTGGACCACTTTCAGTCCGGCCCTCAGCAAAGCTCACGCACTATATGATGTTGACAATTCCTGGCCGTTGTCATCGAACAACTTGTCAGATTGAATAATGGTTGGTGCACCGATCTCGCAGATGTCCAGCAGATCAAATCAACTTGAGCTGCTTGCCTTGATGCTTTTTTGCTGATTTCATGCTTTGTGCATCAGCTGCTTTCAGAGGCACAGACTTGGTTAGGTGGTCCGGATAAGCCGCGGGACACACTTAGGTAAGCTGACCGTCAGACTTACTTTCAAAGTTATTGAAAGCCACCAGACCGGCGACCCCATCATGCATTTGTTGTTGGCACTGGTCGGGTTTTCTTCGCGCTGCTGACGAGTGGGCAGCTGCATCTTGAAGTCGTAGGTCACGTTCCAGAAGTCCCTCCGCCTCCAGCCGGGACAAAGCTTATCACGACCACCGTGCTCACTGTCCACGGACAATGTGACCTTCACGTGACACTTCAGTCTTGAGGCAGAAAACACTTCTAGTCCCCCGTTCTTTCTCACCATCTCGAATGCATCAGCTCCGTACCGGACCAGAGCTAGGTTATTCACCCAGCGCCTGCTCTTTGCTGCTGCTAGGCCTTTGCTCTCCTTTAGATAATGCCAATAGCTATTAAACCATCGCGGCATGAGGTTCATCGCGCAATTACCTGTCACTCGTTCTCTGCTGTAGACACGCCCACTGCGCCAGTTTTCTTCAATAAGCTCAAACGACATGAGTTCATTTCGCTGCAACGCGGCTCGCCTCGCGCACGGCTGGCTATCCATCCTCATAGCTGACCAGGTAGGTCAGCACTGCGCCAACAGGCGCCCAAGCCCGGTGGTACAGTCTCTGTCCAGGGGAACGTAAAGACTAGCGACGCGGCATTGGAACTTCAAGTACCTTCCAAGCGAGAATCCAACATCAAATAGCTCGCAGTTAAATGGAGGTGGTGCTACAAACCTCTCTTCGTTTTCCTTAGTATTTTCTAAATTAATAATCGAATCTACCCCAAGCTTCCAGTGCAGTCTACTGCATCACTTTAGCGCCTTGTGTCTGAATGTGACTGCTCCGATTCTTCGAAAACTGGCTTAGCTGACACTTTGGTGGCTTTGGTGGCTTAGCTCTACTTTGGAATTATTAGTTGAGCTCCAACTTCCCATTGCCGTCATATCGAGTGGACGGAGAATGAATTATGACTTATTTACAGAGGATGCTGATGTAAGACAAATATGTCTACCCCTCGGGCACCTGGCATGTCATTTTTATAATAAGACATGTGTCTTGAGCCCCACTACGCATTATAAGACGTATTGTTGCAAGGAATTAGTTTACGAGCAATTGTGCGAATGACTTGTCTATTTTCTTAATACCTACAATTGTTTATTTTATTTGTTGTTGCATTAGAGTGTAGACACATGATCATGGGCGATTGCAGGCGTTTGATATCAGAGTCTTACCGGCATGTGCCGCGCCGTGTGTCGCGCACGGGGGTCCCCCGGCGCGGTTCTTTCGGCGATCCTTGCGCGGACCGACCATTAGCAGGCGCCGGCCCTAAGGATCGGTGATTAGACGATTGTAATCCGCCAGCATTTTCATCCGTTCCGGCCGACTCAAATTACTTCCGGAATTGTAACGTGCGTCCGGAAGCGCGCGGCTGAAATGGTGGACTGACTGGCCCCTTTGAACTTTGACTTCCCAAAGAGTGTGACCGCGGCATTTAATTAAGCTTTGTTTTCATTTAGGCCATGACACGTGCACACTGTCTGCTGCTGTGTGAAGCGTGGCGATGCGGCTCGAACCTACAGACTAGACCACATAATTAGAACACAAGATCCTAGCGTGGCTTATTAAAGCCTAATGCTCACTGCAGCTCGCGCTCTCGATCCCTAGAATTTACACTCTTGTCGCAAGTCGCAGTTTCATCTCTCTCAGCTCACATAACTTCTCATGTCGATCTCACGTTCATTACGAGCGAGCGAGCGCAGCGAGCGAAGCGAGTCTTTTCAATATAACGGAAAAATCTCAGTATGAGCCAGGCCCGGCTCGGCCCGGCCTGTAACGCTTTTGAGAGGCTTATATCTCAGCAACCGCTAGACCGATTGGCCTGCGGATTTTCAGACGCCAATGCGAAGTGTAATGCTGGCTTATGCCTTGTGTCTTTCTATGCCCCGATGCTAAGCGCTGGCCTAAACTTACATGAAGTTAGTTATGAATAACATATTGCAGTTAGCTGTATGACGAAAAAAATGAATAAGGCGTGTGCACAATACAATTACAAGCTTAATAATAACTGCCAGCGTGACGGCCGGCATCTTATCATCTTCCAGTCACTGATTAGGATCATGAACCGGAAGCGTTTAAAACAATCGGATCCTTTGACAGCGGTGTAGAATGTCGGAGCAGCTTCCGCCGGATGGAGAGGGCGCCGTGGGACGGAGGGGTGCCAATCACCAATCACCGACCAGCGTCGCCGGTGTAAAATGGCGGACCGTGCCAATCCAGCGGACGGCTGGAGTTGCTTCAGCGCCAGAGGCCTTTGGGCGGTGGGAGGAGCATCCTGTATAAAAAGTCGGATGCTCGCCAAAGTTCCTCAGAAGAGCCCGTTGACAACGCCTGGAGTGGCGCTCATACTGCATGCCTAACGCCGTTCAACGAGTCTTGCCGCAGCATCCGAAAATGGACCGCAATTCCTTCCAAGGATGTAAGTGAAACTTATCTGGAAGTAGACGGATCCCCTTTGATTGTTCGTTAAGTCCATCTCCGAGTTGACGTATGATGTTTCTTTGTAATAGTGGACAAGTAATGAACATCTTTGTTTGCAAAAATGTAAAATAAGGCGCAAGCAATTGAGCACATAGCATTTAAGCCCAAAACAAAATTTTGCCGGTAGATATTGTGTTTTGCTGGCTTCGGAGGTAATTATGCCCATGATACCTAGCCTACAAACATTCGCCTTAGTAATACTACAGCCGGTGTCCCTAAGCGCTGACTGATCCACCTGTGTATGTCCCCGCAGATTACGATGCCATCGGACGGGAGCTGAGGTCCCGCGGCTTCGGCGACAAGTGCCGATTCTGTGCAAATAACGGCGAACTGTGGTTCGTCTCCACGAGCCACAAGCTAAAGGTAAGAATACAAAGAGTGCTACTGTATAGGCACATTAGTGGCTGAGAAAAAAATGCAGCCAACCCTTTCGGAAAAAGTAAAATCGTGTTTATATCCTTCGTGAAAGGTACATCTCGTTTGTGTTCATTGTGCGCACTTTGTCAATTTCGCCGTCTAGTGTTATCAAACGTGTTTGCAAAAAGTGCTGACTCTGTGCATCAACGTAATTTGGGACCGGAGTCTATGTGTTTTTTTTTTATCTTGCTGTATATACGTACCTAACGGATTGCACCAGCACATCATCCCTTTGTTACTGAACCTATCCAAGTAGCAGATAACACAGACTGTGTTCCATCAGATCCATTTACAGACAGAACCTTCACTTTAACTGTATTCCTTTCTGTGTTACAGGACGAACAAGGCCGCACCAGATGCCCCATACTGCAGGCCTATACTTGCCCGAAATGCCGGGCATGCGGGCTCAACGCCCACACGAAAAAGTACTGTCCAACGAACAGGCGATAGGCGTTGGGTGCGAACCTATGTGTGAACCTACGAACATGTGAGAAAGTTTGGAAGGTATTGTATGTATGCCGAGAGGGCACTGTCGTTCAGTGAATGTTTATATGGAGTGCGAATAAATGAGTTATTGCTCATATATCGGCGTTATTAATTAACGTGCGATTGACTGGAACTATTTTTGCGCCTACGCAACTGACTGAGAAGTGGAGAGGTGTTCAGTTCCTTCTACCTCCGAAACGTCTGGTCCCATTTTAATCCTCGCTGGACCTATCGGCTTTCTACACGCGCCGAGGCTGGGGGGGGGGGGGGGGAGGGAGGAAGGGCTGGTAGAACCAATAACCTCGCCGGTTCGCCATTTATTGAGCAAGAGTTTCGCGGAAAAAAGGTGCACCGACACTAAACTGCTGGTAGCGGATAAGCAATGTATCAGGCCAACCGGTGAATGGTGATATATGAGGTCAGGTCAAATGCTCTAAAGTGGGAATTCGTTTTCGGTGAATAACTCCCAAAAATGACCACAGTGACCGCGTTTGTAGCATTATCTGACCTCAACCTAAGGTCAACTTTCTGAGGTGACCTGAGCGACGCGCCTAAACATGCCTAACACCATGCTGGTAAATTTGCAGTCCGCTACCATTTTTGGCGACGCTGCTCACCAAAAACGGGTCCCTACATTTGAAGGAAAATTTGACTTGACCGCAAAGGGCTTCGGCTGACGTGAAACTCGAAATTGGGTGCCAGCTGCGGCTTCCATAACGACGCAAACACTTATTTTTCGTAGAGCACTAGCTCAATCAAGCGCGAAACAGTGAAGGGAGGTCTACTAGCCCCTCCCCCTCCGTCTTGTCTTGGTCGGGGAGCAGGAGAAAACCGATAGGTTTGGCGAGTGCCCTTACCGTCCGAAGGGGGGGGGGGAGGGAGGCTGGTGTCGCCTCTGACGGTTTTCTAGCAATAGCTTGGAGTGCATGAGCTTCGAGTTCTTCTGAAGCGTCAGCTGAGCTCAGTCCGATCACTTGATAAACGTAAGCGTTGCCGTAGACGTTTACGGCGCAACTAAAAAAAAAACCGGGACCTTTCTAGGGGCCAACGAAGATGGGCCTGATAACGGCCGTAGAAGTAGGGGAAAGTGGGGTAAGACGGTCAGGGTAGGTAAGACGGGCACTCCTTCTGCAGACCAAACCAATAGCGCTACGAGCGAGCAAATTAGGACCAGAATTGCCTTTTCCACTACACACCACCATTGAAGTCTGGTGAATTTGTGTTCTGTCGATAATCTTATATTTTGATTTCTTTAAAACACTCATTTCATTGAAAACATCCATAACGTATTGTGCAAGCTTTTGTCGTGTGCAGCACTATAGAGTTAAAAACTCGCAATCATCATCATATCATCATCATAACCAAGTTTATTAAACAAAAAATCACTTGTGGTGCACAGTACATATGCCACCAGTGTTCATTTACCGGATTTGCTTTGTCTGCATCAAATTGTCCACAGAGAAAAAGCGTGCTCAACTTCTGACATTGAGGTTGGGGTAAGACTTGCAACTATGGATCCAATGGGTCTGTAATGGTGAAAATATTTTTGTTGCTGTAGGAAAAAAGAAGCATTTCTAATAAGAATCTGTTCGATTCCGATACTCACAGACATGTTAGCAATATTCCTTCGGCACGGTTTATTCTCGAATAATGAATGTGAAAAACGGTTCTACATGGCTTCTGAACTAGGGCCTATACACGAGCATACGCCTTCTGCATGAATCTCGTATACTGTCATTTCCGAAGCACTTGAGACCAACGATTGGCTGTATCAATGCGGGTAATCTCGGGCATTTGTTGCGAGCTGTGCTGGTCGGTGAAAGAAGCTGGCCTTCTTGCCCTACCCATGTGACCGTCTTACCCCATGGGGTGGGGTAAGACGGGTTTTTGCAAGGTTTTGCAAAAATAGCTGCAGTTTATTTGTTGAATCAGGTCTAAGTCTCATCTTCTGGTAAATGGAAGTAAAATGTCTATAAAAGGTTTTCACTCAGTTTCCCGTTTTTATGATGTTTCTAACCGGCCGAAAATGGCTCCAAAATTAAGGTGCCCGTCTTACCCCACTTTCCCCTAACTGGCCGACCTCTGTCATAGGTAAGGTCGGACTAAAAGCTGCGATTGTAGCTAACAGGTCAATAAGTGCTAACAATAAAAGAGAAGTCTATTTCACGTCTTTCGCTCACAGCTATAAAAAACGATTGGCAATACCGTTTACACTAGAGCCCCATCGGCAGCAAAACCTGAAGACTACCTTACCCGTCTTCCGCTCCCCCCCCCCCCCACCCCCCCCGTACCCGGCTGGATCGGCCGGAAGCGGTCCGGGCGGCCTGGCGCGACCCACCATTAGCAGACGCTACCCCTGCTGGTCAGGGATTAGACGACTGTAATCAGCCAGCATTTTTACCACTTCCGCCCGACTCTAATCACTTCCGAAATTGCACATCACTATAGTTCGTTTTTTTTTCTTAGTTCGACCCTCACTGTAAACGTCTCTTTGAACACAGCACGAGAATTGGTAGCTGAATTACTGAGAAAACTCGTTGGCGCACAATGATTTCGCAGACGATCAATTGTATCACAATTATTTCTACCTGGCTCCTTTTTCCCAGACTCGCAGTTCGGTATTTGCGACCCCACAAGGATCGAGGACTTGTCAGGAAATATGACTGAACTAATAAATAAATCGCACGGTGTTTAACGTAACAGTATATCATCGGTGTTAGAAACGTATTTTGAAAATATTTGTTCATATCTCCAATGCAAAGTGCGCTAACGAGTTTTCTAAGTAGGGGAAGCGGGGGGAACACCGCCACTGTGGGAAACACCGCCACCCCATCTGGCGGCGAAAGTATGAAATGTGAAGTGTAAAAATCCGTTATTTCCTATTAACCGCACGAAGGTAAGCGTCTTCTGATTTGTGTTCCGGTGTTTCAGTGTAATCGAAGCTCAGTGTGGGCATTTAAAGAAAAATGCACATTCTCTTATAAAAATTCGATGAGTTGGGAGCACTTTTGAATGTCTTTAAGAAGAGACTCATTTTGATTTACTTGATTACATCGAAAAATAACTGATCGGCTTTGTCCAGTAAGAAAGGTTTGCTTGAACCGTGTAGTACATTCTTGCCGCTGGCGATTTTTGCTTGTGATCACTTATTGGGGAACACCGCCACCCAGTGGCGGTGTTACCCCGATTGAGGTTGCGGTGTTTCCTGTTCGTAGCGTGATAAGTGACGAAACTCCAAAGACACGCTTTATTTATGTTCGTAGATGTTCCTAAGTCGGGAATAAGCAGCTTATTTGATTTTTTACTTTATATTTTTCATGCATCCCGACCAAGCACTTGCCAGCTGTATAAAACTGGCAAACAGCTGATGAACCTATACCTATTTAGGTGCCCATTACCGATTATTTGCGAAAATTACCACTTACCGACAGGAAACTCATCGCACGCGATCTCTGAACAATTTAAAGCTTTCGTAGGAATGGGTTGGGTTAACATCAACACCGGTGGCGGGGTTACCCACACAATTTGTAGGCGGCAAATATGCAAGGTATTTTTAAAAGTCGTGATACATGAAAACCTTTTAGGAGCATGCAAAATAAGTACCTAAAACACGTGAGAAAATGTTTAAATATTGTAACCAAGACAATAACTACCAAGAGACTTCACACATATTCTCTCATTTTGGCGAAAAGCTTAGGGGGGCGGTGTTACCCCCGCTTCCCCTAATCCAGCTAGCAATTCTCGTGCTTTGTTCAAAAAGATGTTTACAGTGAGGGTCGAACTTAGAAAAAACGAACTATAGCGCAAGCTAAAATGATAGATAGTCGGGACTTTTGAAATTTGATTTAAACAAGGTAATTGAAGATATGGTGTTGAGTGCTCTTCCGAGGAACATATTGTTATAATAACTCAAAATGAATGACCTTTTCCTCGAATATAGAAAGTTTAAATGTCGAAAATGATGATGTATTTAGGTAAATTTTCGCCCACAGGGCATCATCAGACAAGCAATTGGCACAAATTGGCACAAATTTGTGCCAATCGCTTGTCTGATGATGCCCTGTGGGCGAAAATTCACCCAAATACATCATCATTTTCGACATTTAAACTTTCTATATTCGAGGAAAAGGCCTCATTCATTTTGAGTTATTAAACAAGGTACCTAAGTGAAACATTAGTTTAGGGTCTCTTTAATTAATTACTGACTTTACCAGCACCCCGTAGGATACTTAACCTGTCTTCATTTCCCGCTAATTCCTGGTATAAGACCGATTTGAGCACAAATTTGCACACTTGTCACATATATTTTGCATATTATCATTGAAAAATATTGCAGAAACTGATACGATGCAAAACTAAAGATTTTCGAACTGCTAGCTTTTTGTTAGGCCACAAAAAGAGGTCTATAATGTGAGGTAAGGTATAGTGTGAGGAAGAACTGCCAAGCCTATAGTTTTGAAGACAAAAAAGATGTCGATATTGTTCCTAGCTCTTGGTTCCTTGCATATTATATTTTCTTTGAAGTTTCTACAAGGATAAAAATTCCAAGACAGCCTGTTAATTCCCGGATATCTCAAAATGTTGCAGTACTCTGATCATCTGTCACATTTTGGGCGCTCCGTATGGACGAGGAGTATACCTATACCTAGGTATATGCAAGTGCATACATAGTAGGTACAGGTCTCGAGAGATTAAGCGGTAGGTTTTGCACTTTTATATTTCCGGTTATATCTCAGATACTAATCGATCTACGATGAAGACATTTTACACGATCATGGCCGGCTCGTTACCCAACAAGTCGATCGCATCTTCAACACTTAAAAGCTTAAGACGACGAAGATATAGCCTGAAGTACCTACACTAAGTTTTATAGGTGCAAAGCCTACCGCTAAAACCCGCGAGACCTGTACATACCTATTACCTACCCTAGGGACTGTGTATTGTGTTAAACAGTTTTACCATGGGCAATAGTTAATGTAGCCCAATTTTGGCATTCCAGCGTCCGTGCAGTAATAACATGGTTCACAGCGTAAGTGCTCTGACGTTGCTGCGGTGTGGTTTCTGCCTTTGTGTGTTGAATACCGCCGACCAAGAG